CGCCGGGGCGGGCGGCTGCAGCTGCCCCTGCGCACACGGCCCCGGCCACAGAGGACACCATGCACAGCCCAGCAGCCGCCAGGCCTGGAAGCGGCCTGCTCTGTGCCACCCTCTTCCACAGTGGGCGCCGCGGGCCGAACCCAGGGCCGACGGCAGCGGCCACCAGCACCCCCACGCCGCGGGTCCCGCCTGCGGGCTGCCCCAGACCACGCAGCTCCAGGGACGTGGGCCCGGCCCAGACCACCCAGCAGAGCCGGCCTGGCGGCTCCTCCCCAAGGAGAGAAAGGAAGACCACGGCAGCACTCGCAGGCCCTGTCTCCCCATGGGGCAGATGGTCGTGTCCCTGATTCCGAAAAGCTCCGGAACCTCCTCCCCAAGGAGCCTCGCGAGGACGCTTCTGTCCCCTCCAAGGCCCAGCTGGCCCTCACCTCCGGGCCCGCTGTGGGTGCCTGAAACCACAGAAGGCCTCGTGCCCGCCGGCTGCAGAGACCCGGCCCATGGGCAACCCCGTGGCCGCCCCGGTGGGTGCACCGGCCGCCTGCAGGAGGGTGCCCCAGCCCGGTGCAGGTGGCCCCCCTACACCTCCCAGGCTTCCTCAGCGGCAGGCCCGGGGTCCACCCCCACCCCACGGGTCCCTTGGCCAAGCCTGGAGCCCGCCTGCGCCTGCACCCCCTTTCCCTCCTGCATCCCCATCCATCAGCAGGCCGCGGTGTGGGGGGTGCGCAGGCGAGCGGGGTACGGACATTCCTAGCCTGGCTCTCGGCTTGGGCAGGGGCCTGAGGAGAAAGACGCTGGACTTGACCTGCAACGACCTCTGGCTGGAACAGCACTCACGGCCCCTGGGCCGCAGGCCCTGGCGCTGCCCCGCACTGACCTCACAGAAGTGCCCAGGCGCTGCGCTCCTGGTCTGGTCTGCCAGGCCGGAGCCTTCCTGATACGGGCGGGGCCTCAGCCCCCCACCGCACCCCGGGAGCCCGGCCTGGGGCGTCTGAGCAGAGTCAGCTTTTGTTCTGAACAGTTTCAGAGTTTAACAAATTTGCAACAAAAGTGAAAGTTCTCACCAGAAGGCCACTGGCCCTCCCTCACCCGGACCCCGCGAACACAGAACAGTAAATGCCCGTCAAGTGGGACCCCACAAAAGGCACCTGCCCCCACCGCTCCCTCACGCCCCCGCCCGCAACTCCGGGGAGCTGCGGCCCTGGGCCCCGGAGTTCAGCTGCCCGCCGGTCGGCGGTCTCCGCGCCCTCGACCCGAGGAAGAGGACGCCGGTGCCGGTGCCGTCCCCGGCGGCCGGGCCGCACCCACGGTCAGCGTCGGGGGGCTCGCAAAGCGAACCCCAGCTCCAGCGGCCAGGGGCTCCCCGGAAGGCGGCACAGACCACGGCTAAGCGCGCAGACACGGCAAACGCGCGCGGGGCCGCGACCCCCCAGCCCTGCCCGCTCG